CACCCTAACCCGCACATCCCTGGGCACTATGGGTAATTTAGCACGGCCAATCCACCCTATCTCGCACAACTTTGGACTGTGGGAGGAAACCCATGCAGACACAGGGAGAATGTGCAAACTCCACACAGACAGTTGCCTGAGGGTGGAACTGAACCCAGGTCCCTGGTGCTGTGAGGCAGCAGTGCTAACCACTGAGCCCCTGTGCCTGCCCAAAAACTACAATGTCAAACCTCTCCCTCCCCAGTATCTTATAGGTTTCAATCTGAACACCCTGCCATTCTAACGGAAAGAGTCCCAATCTTGCCTTGTAAAACAACATGCCAGGAATGGACCTTCTCTGAACTGCCCCTTGACCCGAGTAAATACATAAACGTACATAACCACATCAACTCTACAGCATACTGCTGCACCCCAGCTTCAGTGTTTCCATCTCCCATTCTCTCAGAGTTCCCTCTGAATTGCATCTCAATTATATGCCTCAACCTACCAGCCTCAGGCCAGTTTAGTGAACGGCTTGTGGGTGGGGGAAGAGTTTCACATTAATCTAGCCTGCTGGTGAAAATGCAAAAAAAAACTCAGTTTCTGGCAATTAAAAACGAGTTTGGTTGAGCAAAGTGGAGTCTGGAAGGTTAATAAGAACAATAAAGCGAATTTAATCCAACAGATATTTAAGATGCACAATTTATTTCTTGACTTGGTGGAGGGAGGGGGGGGAAGGGAAGTCTGCAAGCTGAGGTCTGACATTCAATGCAAACCCAAAAATCTCAAAAAAAAAGCCAAGTCAGCCAGAGCTGACATATCAACAGAATCGCAGACTGCACAAGGCAAAGAGAAATGTGGAGCAAACTCCCAGCTTACCTGCATGTTGCTGCTCACAGCCAAACTCCCCCTCTCAGGGGTTACACTGCCTGCAGATCGCTTCATTGCAGCGCAACCTTTAGTCCACACTCCTTCAGGCCACCCACCCCTTCCCCTTCTGCTCCTCCAACTCATTTTGCAGCCCCCGGGGAGGGTGGGGACTAGCTTCCTCTCACGTTGGTAGACGCCTCTCTGGTGATCCTCCCCCGCCCCCAGGGGAGGGCGCACCACGCTGCGGAGGAATACACCTCCATTCATTTCATTTCATTCATGAAATTGACTTTTAGCACATGCTGCCTTCAAACATATTACAATAAAAATTCTGGTTAGGCCAGGGCTACTGAATGAAACTCACCCAAAACACCATCCTCGAAGAGACAGTCATCGCAACCTGAATTTAAATTGTTGGGTATGATTGCAAAGTGCCCAAAAGTCATCCACTGCATCAAATTTGGATATCAGCCACAGATTTGCCTGACCAAGTTTTATTTCTGAGACGGCAGGAACTGCAGATGCTGGAGAATCTGAGATGACAAGGTGTAGAGCTGGATGAACACAGCAGGCCAAGCAGCATCAGAGGAGCAGGAAGGCTGACGCTTCGGGCCTGGACCCTTCTTCAGAACCCCATTTCTGAAGAAGGGCCTAAGTCCGAAACGTCAGCCTTCCTGCTCGGCCTGCTGTGTTCATCCAGCTCTGCACCTTGTTATCTCAAGTTTTATTTCTGTCATTTTTGGAGAACCAGAGCACCCATCTGTTTTGTAATGTGTTTGGCCTTCACTGTCTCTGGACTTTGATAGTGACCGTGGAGTTGGAAACCATTTACAGGGCCCACGCCTTCAGAAGAAGCTAAAACTACCCTGGACACGATGTAAAAAACCCATTACAGGCACAGCATCGTTACCAATATTCTTGAAATGCAAGAATGCCAAATTTCAGGAAAAAAACAGCCACAACGATTTATATTCCAGGCAAAAAAATCAACTCAGATCGCCATGGAGAATATAAGCAAAGAATTATAAGCTCCCAGCTGATTTAGGGAAAAAAAACTGCAGATTTGGAATAAATCTTTTGCAGCAAACACAATGCTGTTCACCACACCTACCCCCCGCCCCGCCACCCCTCACTGCTTTGATGTTAGAGTTAGCCTTAACAGGCTTTACTCGTAAATATTCAATTGGCCACAGGGGTGTTCTCTTAGTGGTGGAAGAAAAACAAAGATTTTTTAGTATACAAAAATAATTAAAAACTCTGCTCGCAAAGGTATTGTAGAGCTGCACAGTACAGAAAGACCCTTCAGCCCAACTCGTGCATAAAGACCAAATATCCTGAACTGATCCAGTCCCATTTGCCAGCATTTGGCCCAAATCCCTCTAAACCCTTCCTATTCATGTACCCATCCGGATGCCTTTAAAATGTTGTAATTGTACCAGCCTCCACCACTTCCTCTGGCAGCTCGTTCCATACACGCACCACCCTCTGTGTGAAAAAGTTGCCCCTTAGGTCCCTTTTTAAAATCTTTCCTCTCTCACCTTAAACTTATGCCCTCTAGTTTTGGACTCCCCCTACCCTAGGGGAAAAAAAAGACCTTGGCTATTCACCTTATCCCTGCCCTCATGATTTTATAAACTTCTATAAGGTCAGCCCTCAGCCTCCGACGCCCCAGGGAAAACAGCCTCAACTTTTCCTGTTGTATATTCCATATAGAAAAAGGAGCTTATGGGCATCTCTGTAGAACAGCAGTTAAGAAAAAGCTCAATTTATCTGATACTACCCTGCCATACAATAATATGAGGGGCATGAACTTGCAAGTGGGACTTGGCAGGCGGTTATTCTGGCAAGTTTTTGAAGGAGTATACTATCTTCAAAAGGTACTCTTTATCCATCAGCACCAGCGAATCTTGTCCCACGATCCAAATGGCGAGGGCCTAGACAGAGCGGATGTTGGGAAGATACTTCCAGTGGTAGAAGAGACTAGGACCCGAGGGCACAGCCTTAGAGTAAAGGGAAGGCCTTTTAGAACAGCGATAAGGAGAAACTTCTTCAGCCAGAGGGTGGTGAATCTATGGAATTCACTGCCACAGAAGGCTGTAGAGGCCAGGTCACTGAGTACATTTAAGACGGAGATAGACAGGTTCTTACTGCGAAGGGGATCAAGGGTGATTGGAAGCAAGCGGGGCTGAGGAACTTATCAGCCATGATCAAATAGTGGAGCAGACACAATGGACTGAATGGCCTAATTTCTGCTCCTATGTTTTACAGGGACGGG